AACATCTGGTTTCCAATAAGTATCTTCTATAAATAGAACAAAAAAAATAAACTATAAGTTTATTTGATTTTATTTATCTACCAAGAAATGGATCATATTCACGAATGAAACGTTTCGTTAAATATTTAACAACTAATGCTGATTTACCAACACTTTGTTTTCCAAGTAAAACAACATTAACTTCTTCTTTTGGTAAACTTGCTGTTGATAGATGACTTTTAATTGAACTATTTGTTGATTTATATCGGCTCATTTTGAATAACTAGAAAATCTTTCTTTTTTTTTGTCTTTCTATATATCAATAAGAAAACAAAAGGACGAGAAATATACAAACAAAAATATCTTCTTTCTTTTTTTCTTCTATTCTTTATTTCTTATACATATATAACAGACGACAAACAGAAAAAAAAGAAGAAGAGAAAAAAAAGGATGTATTTATGTGGCAGTAGTATCATTATAGATACTCGGTAATATGTAAAAAGGATAAAAAGAACATAACGATCATTAAGAACAGAAAAGAATCTACAGGACATTCTAGAAAAGATATATCGATGTAAATGTATCCATTCAAAACTTTCTATATTATCTTTATTAGAAATAATTGATAAGAAAATAAATAAATTATACGAAGTTTCTTTTTTTTGTTTTGATAATTAATTAATTTAATGTACAATTAGAAAAATCATGCGGCCAACATTTATATCCATAAACACGATTTTCTAATTCATCAACATCACGTAAATAATCATATTGAATCCATGCTGATTGACAATCACATTGAAGATTCATATTTGTATAATTAATATCAATCAATGATGATGGATGTGTTTCAAGAAATGGTTGAAAAATATTTTCATCTAAATATGTTAAATTCGTAAAATATAATCTTAGAAATACTGCACGATTACGAAAACGACTTAAAGATGTTAATGGAAAGCTAGTTGAATTTAACATTTGTCCACCAATATAAATATGTAACATATTATTTGTTGATGATCGATTACGTTGAGCAAATGCATATTTATTTATTTGTGTTAGATTAGGTGAAAATATACGTAATAGTCGTAAATTCGGTACATTATAAAAAGCATATTGACCAATGCTTTCAATTGGTTGATTTGTTCGTCGATTTTCTAAACCAAACCATATATCTGTTAATTTTGTATGATTAAATGCATAATTTGGAATTGTTGTTAAACGATCATTATGCATACTAATACGACGTAAATTTGTAAATTGTTTTAATATAGAAAATATTATTTGACTGTCGGATAAATTTGTATTTAATGTTTCAAATACTTCAACGTTATCTTTAAAATAATAGAATGCATTTTCATCAATTGTTGTTAAAAGATGATTATCTTGAAACATTAAACTTTTAAATGTTATATTATTAAAAACATTTTCTGGTATGGATTTCACCGTTGTATCAAATAAAAGAAAACTATCAAAATCTGTTTCATTTTCATTTAAATATAAATTAAGATTTAAAAAAATTGCCTGTAAATCAAATGATGAAT